CAGGGAGCTGAGCCCAAGAGGGAGGATGCTGAAGCCGGGGGAAGCAAGGAGGAAGAGAAGCAGCAGCCAGGGGAAGGCCACGGGGATACGGCCAAACCCGAGGAGTCCTCAAAACCTGGGGGGCCGGAGCCTACAGCAACCCCGGCAGCGGCGGAGCAGAAGGAAGAGTAGAGCCCACTTGGCATCGTCCTAACTTAAGACTCTTACGCCATCCTCTCCATCCCGGTAACACCACGGACTCGCTGCCCTGCCCACACACCTCCCCGTCCCACCTAGGACTGACAACGCTTTCTAAAACCGACACCAACCACCACCACCCTGCCCCGAGTTATTTCGTCCCCTCCCTGTTAGAAAGCTGGTTTGGATTCCCACCACCGCCACCACAACTTGGAGTAGTTTTACCCGAATCCTTTAAAACTGTGGAGGAAGACTATCCTGGACATAACTGGAATTTACAGTTTGTAAGAACCCAGATCCCACATCCCACTCTGGTATCTCTGCTGGCCTCCTGACTGTCCCCACTCCCCTCCCGGCAGCCTTCGAAGCCCAGCAAGCCAGTGACTGTTCAATGGATTCTTTTTTTTTTCTCTCAGTTTACATTCCTGGTTCTGACTTCATTTAAAGTATTTTGTGCTTTTTATAGAAATCAATGGTTTAAAAGCTAATCTGGTTAGTTTTTTATAATGTCTCACTATTGGCTTAAAACCATAAAGCTTGTAAGTCCGCTGTGTTTAATTCTGCTTCTGAGGGATAACTTCTAGGGTGTGGGGTGGAGGGAGGGGACCTGCCAGCTGTATAATGTGAAGCAACATTGTTTTCTCTGTAAATAATTTTTTAATGGCCAAAACACTTGATTTGCAATTTTCTAACTTCTAAAAAAAAAAAAGCTGTATGGGCTTTCTTGTAACATTTGAAAGGAATAAATGGTGACCCCTTTATGGGTGAGCTTGAGTCCTTCTTGTCCTGGATGCCAGACGAGGGCCAGGGAAGATAGCAGTTGCTTATTTAGTTCAACAGCTGCTGCATTTAATCACTCCGGCCCTGGCTCTGCTCACAGTTAATTGACTTGCAGCAGATGTAGAGCCACAGCCACAAAGGACTTTCTCACACAGGCTCTTGTCGCTACCTTAGGATCGCTGTTCAGCTGGCTGCTCTGTACCTGTTTTCTTGGAGATCTAACCCATTTTTTTTTTTTCATGGTGGGGTGGGAAAGGGGGAAAAAAAAAAGTGTTTTCTCATAAGGAGGGGGCCCAGGAGGGCTATTGGGTGAAATTCCCCTTTTAAGCTTGGTTTCTTGAATTTTAAATTATTTTTTTTTAGTTGCTTTAGCATAGGATTGGCTCCTCTTTCCTGAAAAGACCTGCCAGAGCACACGAACAAGTACAAAGATGTACTTCCAAAGAGAAAATGAAGGCACAATGGGTGCCTCCATCACTTCTCCTGTCATCTGCATAGGGATAGAGGTGATTTTTCCCCAAGACAGGCATGCAGCAGAAGGAAGGGGCACTGCCCTGCTCCAGCAGCCTCCCCAAGGGCTCCTTCAGCCAGCTTAGGCTGCAGCGGTAGTGCACAGCCCCTCCATTTAATGGCCTGCTCCTAATTCCCATCTAATCACCTGCCCCTGCTGTTTTGGCTGGCAAAGAAGATGGAGAAAAGCAAAGACCATTGTTTGCCCAACTGGCACCACCCTGGCAAGGCAGGGCCCGGGGCAAGGACCATCCCTGTGCTTCTGTACCCCTTCAGGTAGGTCGGAATGGCCAAAACTCTTCATTTGATGCAGCACGTTCTATCAATAGCAGGAAGCTAAGGCAAGTGATCTAGTTCCAAATGCAGCAGGGTGTTCATCCCTATTGATCTGAGGGGCAAAAAAAAAAAAAGGTATTTTAAATGTAGGCACTGTGGTCTGCAAATTATTTCTAAGATTGCTTGCGGTCTGTCATGTGAGACACAGCTGCATTGTGCTCCAGCCGAGATCCGGGGCTCAGTGCATCTGCCAGGGAGCTGCCGTACAGCATCGCGGCAGCCATTTTAAGAAACCCTGGAAGAGAGAAGGACTGCAGTTGCACATTGGCACGTGTGATCTGGCAGGGGTAACTTGAATTGTACAGTTGTTTTTGTTCAAGGAGGCGAGGATTTTAATTATCTGCTACAGTAATAAGGATAACTAAGTTTCCTGGAGTATTATTACAGCAAGGAAAGTCAACTGTGCCATGCAAAGCTTTTTCTTAACTACATAAATGGCAGATTTGGCTTATGAACCTTTTGTGTCCATTTCAGGTGTGATCACTGCTCAGTGGCAGAATTAACCTGCTCCTAATTACACTAAAGACATTTTTTTTTCACTTGAATACCAGATAAAAACCATTGAAGTTCATTAAAAAGATACTGCCTTCCCATAACTTATTATTCCTTTCCTAGATTAGCATTGCTTTCAGAGCATCAGCTGCATGAAGTATTGTAACTCCAAACAAACCGCAAACCCAATGAGTATCACCAATGCTGCTGTAATTTAGGAAAGACACAGAAAAACTGCCCCAGTGACCCTTAGTAGAAAAGTTGTGAGCAAACAAGACCCATGGTATTTTGACTTACCTTCTCGGGAGAGAAGGGTCATGAGGAGAATTTCAAGGCTATTTTATAAAACATGGGGGGAGCAGAACAAGTATCTGCAAAAGAAACTAAAGCCCTCTTTCACACGCAGCATAGAGTATGTTCCAAATAAAACGCTGCTTTGGTGGATGGCATTTAAATCAATGTACCTAGCCCTCTTCCCAAAAGAGGAGGGAAAGTAATCATGCCTCACCTCACCTTTCTTTCCAAAGCCTTATTACAGCTGTCATTTTTTTTCTCATTGGGACCTACATTACATCATGATCACGACCAAGCTGCTGCACCATTTTCCAGCAATGGCTCTGAACTCCTGCTCTAACCGAGTGTTTCCTCTCAGCAGAAAGCAGTACAAACTCAACACCACTCATAGAAATGTACCAGTTTTATTACAAAGATTCTCAAAATTCAAAATAAAAGCATCTTTAAAAAACCACAATATATTTCCCCCCCTCAACACAAAGATACACTGATCTCTCTCGCTTCACATACAAACACTGAAGAGCGGGAGTGACACGTCACTCGGATTCAAAGAGACAATTATACTCACGGTGGAAAAGGGAAAAGGGAAAAGAAGTATTTTAAAAAAATAAAACATTTTAAAAATAACCTGTGTTAAGTTAGCAGCATTATTAGAGTTGAAACCATCAGCAGCGCTCCGTGGGAGGTACAGATCCTCTTATGGACAGAGGAATCCCCCTGAGAAAGGAGAGCAGCGAGTCAAAACTGCCTGCAAAACTTCTGCAAAGCATTTCACCAAAAGCTCATCTAATGATCAGCTGTACAAAACGAGATGCAAAAGAAAGGCCAGTTCTGGTCACAAAAGACCTCTGGGTGTGAGATAATGCGTGGGAGTAGGAAGAACAGTAGTTATAAAAACGTACAGAGCCCCATCTGCTGTTCCCTTGTAAAGATAACAGCTCAGACGGCCGATAAAGAGGGTCTCCATATTTACTGGCCTTGAGAGCAAGAGAGAGGAGAGGTTCCATTTGGAAACGGTTGCAACTTCACTTCAGAGAAGAGTTTTTCAGTGAGCAACGCGCATCGGCAAGAGGTTTCAGCCAGGCTCTGTTCAGTCTGGCCTTTAGACAAGTTGGGTATTTCTGCAGTGGTTTCAGCCTAGGACACAGATAAGTACTGAGAAAGCACATGACAGCACACGTAGCTGAGGGCAGAACAAGCAGGAAAAGCAAAGCAGGCGGCCAAATAGGCAGTAACTCACTTCCCCCCCCCAAAGAGGGGCATAGGTATAGAAAAAAAGGTATAAAAATTTCATCCCTTCTCTTACTCGAGATGCATAATGCTGCCTTGCTAACTGGATCTGCAAGATCTTGCAAAATGTTAACCACCACATTAGGGTGATTTTCACTTTGCATTTTCCAGATCTGCACCTGCAGGGCGCTCCGGTTGATTCACTAAAGCGCTTTTCAGATTGCTTTTAAGCTGCTTCATCTCTTTCCACAAGTTTGCTGCCAGGAGGTAGCCAACTCTATTCAAGAACTGCACTATTTGACCCTGAGAAGCGGCACCAGCTTGCAGTTACTTGCCATGGTGGAATCAAACTGAAGACCAAAGGAATAGTCAGTCTCTCACAGGCTTCATTTGGGAACTCATATTCTCCCACCAAAAAAATCACCACTAGTATGTTCAGACCAGAAGTAAAAGTCTCTGCAGGGAAGAAAAAAAAAAAAAAAAAGGGAAAAAAACCAACAACAACAAAAAATTAAAATTAATGGCCATCTTTCCACCTAACCTGAAATGCAGATACTACTTCTACTTAAATTATTCTTTTTCCAAGGGTGATTATTTCAGAGGAGAGAGTAAAGAAAGGAAGTGATTTTTTCAGACACACTAAGGAGGCAGTGGAAGGCAAGAGTGAAACTTCCCAGTCACCAAATCTGGGCAGTGCAGGTCTGTCTACTCCGCAGAATCCTCCCTATCTGCTCCCAGCGGAGTGCAGCAAGGAATAATTTACAGTTCTCAAGTCATTTATATATTTATATAGAAATATATACAGAAACATATATAAAATATAAATCCTGTGGAATGGGAGGCAACCAGAGAAGCTAACCTATGACAACTACGCACTGACAGGTACTGTCCAGATGCAGCCATCTTAGGTGGATTTCGTCTCTTCCTTCACCCTGTGGAAGTAAGCAGGGAAGAATTTGGTTTAAACAAGCAACTCTGGCTGTGCCCAAGCTTTAACAACAAGCCAGAGCTGCAGCCTTAAAAATGCTGCTTATATGGCCCATCTTCATCTAAAACTTGTAACACGTTTTGAATGAAGGCACAGTATTTTTAAGCCCTTTTCGCTGAAGGCTCTCTCAGCGCTTTATCAGGTGTGCTGTTCCACACATGCAAACTTCTTCCTATTAAGAGCCCATGACAAAGCCATCCAAACCACCGAGTCTCTCCTCCAGCCCCTCAACTTATGCAATATCCCACCGGGGGTATGGGTAGATGGACAGGAAGTACAGGCACAGCCATTTAATTGCCATGCCAGGGGACAGGGCTCACCCTTTGGGTTCTGCTTTCTCCTCTTTTGTTTTTTCCTCTTCTTTCTCATCTAGGAAAGAAAAAACAAACAAACAAACAAAAAACACACAGTAGTGCCAGAGGAAAGTACATGCCAGGCAAAGTTCCACAGAGCTGGGAGGGCTTCTCGTCCTAGCTCTCATGCTTACCTTTCTTCTCCTCTTCCTCCTTTTCCTCTTCTGTTTTCACACGCTTAGCTTTCTTGAAGTTGGCAACATTTTTGCGCCCTCCTTCCCCTTCATCCTCAGAGTCAGAGAATTCTTCATCACAGGATATTCTCTTATCAGAATTGCGGACTGCGTGCAAAGAGGACAAGAGGTTGTTTCAGCAGATTTAGAAGTCAGGAGATGCCAAGCACTGACTTCTCCAAGTACATCTACGCACCGGAATGAACTAATGAGCCTACGTAAGTCAGAATTAGTCCACAATAAAAACACTGATCTTTCTACCCGCCATATCTTTTAACTCATCCCTCTTAACTGCTCATGCCCAAGATCCAAGATCACGTGGACGACTTGGATTAGGTACAGCGTGATGTCTAGACTTGACAGCATATGCAGGTTAACCAGCCTCACACTGAGAAAATCTGTCTGCCAGATCTAAAGGCCATCAGCCAACCTGGATATAAACTAGCATTTTCACTGTGGAAGACAACTTCTCGGATCAAACCTGACAGTCTCCCAGAAAGTATCCTGTCACAGCACCTACATCACAGCAACTGCTTAAATTCTCACATTAAAGCCTAGGCTCTCCCATTATGGAAATCATCTGGCAAAAGTTCTGTTTCTCCAAGGGAAAAGAAATCTACCAGCCCTGCAGTGCTTAGCATCATTGCTTTATCCTACAAAATCAATCAGAAATGTGGGAACAGATTCAAACTGAAGGACTCCAGAATCAAGATACATCTAAATCATATATCCTCCTCTCTTTATTAAGGTAACTCAGTTTAGAGCCTGCATGCTTCTCCAGCTAACTGATTCCATTCAGCTTTGGCACCCACAGGCTCCGAACAGTACGCTTCCCAGCCGGGCAATGCAACTACGCCAGAGACAAGCACATACTTGAAATGCGTTTCTCAGGATCTTCTTCCTCTTCATCTCCACTGTCTTCCTGAACAGCATCCTCAGGAATCGGCTGCATCTGGACGCCAGGGGCATGAGGCAGCATGCGCAGATTCTCAAAGAGACGTTGCCTAGAGCCAGCCAGGAAAGGAACACCTCCGTCAGCAAGATGCCACCCACGGCTGCGAAGCCTCCAGTAGAAGGTGTCAGTCTCGCAAAGAGGAGCAAACACTTACTTGATCTTCTCAAGATACTCATTGGTATTCTGGTTCGTCATGTTCGAGGGACTGATGTGGAGCTTAAAGTCTGGTCCAAAGTACTCAAAATAGTCATTATATGGGAGTTCTGCAGGCAAGTTAAAAAGGAATAAATGCCAAATTACCACCGGACTGGTGACGGAATACCACAAACAGATTGTACTTCTACAGGAAAGCACAACTGCATTTACCTAGGCATAGGAGCCGAAGCTCTCCTAGCACAAATTCAGATCAAAGCAGACAACTTAGCAACACTGCAGTCAAAGCTTACTTGGCAGTTAAACCCTATGAGTGCACACAAAAGTTTGCAGTAGAAGGTCATCTCATTTCAGTAAGTCGGCAAGGCTGCTGGGTACCTTTTGCTAGAGGGGAAAGCTACAGGACTAGAATGCAAACAAGAACAGCTACTGCAAATCAGGGCATCCAAAAGCTCTTCCACAGTAATAACCAAGAGCTAATGAAATATCTTAGGGTTGCTGCCTCTCCCACAGCAACATCCTTTCCCTGAGCTCTGTTACTAGAGTGTCATTGTCCCTTAGTCTTGCTTCAAAGGCTCCAGGGGAGAATTACCGTTAGGAATTTCAGTGTCCAAAGCCACAGCAGTCTCATAGGTCCAGCACCTAGCCACGTTGCGGATCGTATAGCCACCTCCGCCCAGCATCAGCATAGGCAAATTAAAACTTTTTACAAACTCCACACACTTGGCATGACCTGCAGCAAAAGCAGTGGGGGAAAAGGTCAAAGCCTCATGGCATAAGAAGAACAAACTTTTCAATGAAGTCTAATTATATCAGCTGTGCCAGTTCAACACAGGCATGGTACGGTACTCTTACCTTTGATGGTCAGATTAAAACAACCCAGCCTGTCCCCTGACAGAGAATCTGACCCACACTGCAAGACAACTGCGCTAGGCTGGAACGTCTCCATCACTTTGGATATCACCTAAACAAGAAACCCGTTGTTACGCACTCTTCGCGGGACAGTGTCACAGCAACACAGTAACGTCCATGTCAGCAAGTGACATGAAGACAGCCCTAGTGTTCCCACAGCTGCTGACTCCCCTATATTGGTAACACTGAGGCTCTTACAAAGAGAAGCTCAGGGATGACAGGCTGCAATTGTTAGGGAGGAATACAGCCCCTGAAGAATCTTATCACAGAAGACTGAATCAATCTCCCCAAAGAATGGCTCCATGAGCCACCCAATGACAAAGTATGACCCACAAAGAATTACTCAGCAAAGATGTCTTCACTTACCGGCTTGAATATTGCTTCATAGGACTCATCATCAATCCCGTCCCGGAGGGGATAGTTGACAGCATAGTACTTGCCTTTGCCTGCACCAATATCCTATCAGAGTGAAAGACAGGAGAGACCACAAGTCACCAGAGAACCAACTGCAACATATAAGTTGTGCTCCAAATTCGGAAGGAAAGTCTTGGATTCCGTCAGTGTAATCCGAATATAAGCCTAGGCTCTCACGGACAAATACTGTCCTGGCAGAAGGCAGCAAGAGTCAGTTGATTCCAACAGCAGCTTATTTGGCATAAGTGCGTGCATTTGGCCCTCAGTGTTCAGAGAAGAAAAATCTACTACTACATGTTGCTCTGAGCACACAGGCTCTCATTTCACTGGCAAAAGCCATTTTCTTACACAGCAATAAATTTGGCAGCCAAAATTCTAGTTCCAAACCTGTACGCTGCAGAGATGCACAGCCCAAAATACCAATTTGGGCTGACTGTGCAGTCTAATAACAGAAAGAATCTATTTTTTCTTTAAAACAACATATATATTTCTACATTTCCATTATCTCTCTCATACTCAAGTGTTATTAAAATAATTATTTCATTTATGGTGCAGAGTGGCCACACGATGAAAGAATGCTGCAGCTGCACACAAATTCACATCACCAGCACCAAACTCTGGGCAGGGCTGAAAAGATACAACTCACAAGTGGAAGAGAAGCGAATTTAGCTCAGAGAAATATAACTCCACTAAAAACACATTAAAAAAAAGGTAAAGAACTTTTCACCCCTAAGAACAGCATTCTGGCAATGTCAGAAGTCAGAAAGTGAACCACACCTGTATCTAACCTGGAAGTGCCACAGTTAACACCAAGCTTCATTAACATGCAGAACTGATTCACAGGAGGAAACGTCAACAAGATAAACCAACACACAGAGAAGCACTCCCTCATCAACTTTCACCCAAAAGCTTGCGTGACCAAGCTTAGTCTGCAAGTAGCTACAGATGACCAACACGCCATCTTCAGGGCCACTTTTCTGAGCATAATCCCACCAGAAGGCTGCTGAGAGATTGATATCCTGGATATTACTATCCAGGCCATGATCACAGGAACAAAGGACCCACCCCAAGGGCTGCGCCAGCTGCCTCACATATACACCTTTGCCCTCAGAAAAAGGATGCCGCTTTAAGAGCAGGAAAACCCAGGAAGAACAGTGATTTTTAGTTAAATTAGTATGACAGCAAACAGATGGAAGAGACTAAATTTCAGGGTAATTTTCTGCTAAGCTTTCATTCTCACCCGTAGGTCCCCTGTTCCTGGGAAATATTCTCCGTACTTGTGAAAGGACACGGTCATGACACGGTCTGTGGTATAAAAGGCTTCCTCCACGCCATCTCCATGGTGAATATCAATGTCAATATATAGGACTCTCTGGTGATACCTAGGATCAGAAAGGAGTCAAAATACTGCATTTCTTCAGAGCAGAAACTGCCTTCACCAGCAGAGCAAATGGGAGGAGAGCAAGGAACTTGGCGCTCATCCCCAGGCTGCGCAGTTACCAGGCAGCTCTCCCTCCAGGGTCTACAAGCAAAAGAGCTGCAGAGAAGGGACATTTGCCTTGGTCAGCAGCGGTACAGAACCACAGAGGAAAATACAGAAAATAAAGCTTTTGCTGCTGCAACTGATCTTTGATGGCAGACTCAACTCAGTTTATTCAGATTCAGTCAACAGACTGCATTTTTATGTCCAAGCCTCCCACTGAGGTTTGCCTTGAGCCAAAAGCTGTCACATATTACAGCCGTGCCCCTTTTTCCAGGGTGGGTAGTAGAGAGAAGGGCCTAAGAGCAACTGCACAACGCTCCAAGCCCTCTGCCTCCTGCACCGTGCCACCGATAGACATACTGCTTTGGGAGAGAGGGTAGCGCAGCCCAAAAGATAGCCAATTAAGCCCTCCTGGGAGAACACAGCTAAAAAAAAAAAGGCAACAAAAAGCAAAGACCGAGAAGAAAGTGCTAAGGACTTGGAGGAAATGTAACAGAACAGACAGACAAAAGGAGTAAATAGTACTGCTCGTACTTGAGAAGCTCCAGGATAGCCAAGACGATATCGTTGACATAACAGAAGCCAGAAGCCTCTGACTTCTTAGCATGGTGAAGGCCTCCCGCCCAATTCACAGCAATATCTGTCTGTTGCTTGTTCAGCTTCACAGCACTGGCTGTTAGGAGAAGAATTACAAAAATATTAGCACGAGAGCAAAGGCTCCATGACAGAGACTGAAAGGTAATGCACTGGTCCCTTACGATCACATCATCGCTCATGTGTGTGTTTGGGTACTTTATAAAGCACAAGCCCAAGGGTTTAACACTGGGTGTCTCAACAAACTAACAAAAGGCAAGGGAAGAGAAACACAGGCTCTGTTCTGCCTGCACACACTTTTCACTGCTTCCCACTTTTGTCTCAGAGCATGAAATCTGCACAAACAAATCCACAGCATTTGAGCTGGGGTCCCAGTTGACAGTCTAGATTTCTCAGTGCTCTGAACAAAAGATTTTAATGAAAGGTTTTATCCAACATATATTTAGGTCATTCATTGAATACGCTTTTAGGCAAAGGAAGTTCTCTTCCCCCAGCCCCTTCATAAAATTTCTGCAAATTTTGCAAGTCTCCCAGGATCAAAACAAATAATATATTCTGTGGAATCTAAAGGCGTGGGACCAGAGAGCATAGAGCTACTTCAAAAAACGCTGCAATCAGTACTTGTACCTACTGCTGAACTACATTACAGGAAATAAAGACTTCTAGATGTCATTGTGGGAGTAGCAGCCACAAAGCTTTAACGCCTATGCACAGTAACACAGTTCCGCAATACTAGTCTTTCTGCAACAAAGTATTTGAGAATAGTGAAAGCATTTTAAATGTTCCAGCTTTCTGGGAGCTTACTGAAACCTTTCAGGTTCTATTTTGTCTCAAGCCCAGAGACGGTCCAGAGACAGCGGCTTTTTTGTTAAAAACAACAGATAAAGTAACTCTTTTCTTTCTTTCCCAGGTTACACCTGCCCAGAACAAGGTTTTTACAACTTTTTTTTTTTTTCTGTAAAGCTCACATTTATTTTTTTATTAAAACCTTGCTGCTGCTGCAGTTTTAACTATCACTGTCAATATTGTTACACCACTAACAGAGTCCTTCACATATTCAGTGAAGTAACCCAGACTAGTGGAGATATGCTTAACAAATGTAGAGGGATCTGTCAACATGCAAGGCTTGAACTCACATGGGAAGAAATCTGGATCTAATTATTAAGGAAATCAAAAATAAGTTCACAGAGTTTCCCCACCACCACCTACAACAATTTATTTCCTAGACAGAACTACATTACATACAGCTGCTTAAGAGAAAAAGAAAAGAACGTATGACTTCTGAGCTTACCAACTGAGCCTCCAGCAGAGAGCTGACAAAACTCAAACAACCCATCAAACACAGGGCAGTCTTCCCCAACATTAACTTGAAAAGAACACAAAAGAGTTAGTAAGACAAAACTACAAATAAATGGCCAAGCTTATACCACCACTCTGATTCAAAAAGCTAAACAGGTAAGTGACCAAAAGTTTTAAACAGCAAAATACCACGCACAAATAACAGAGTATCAACGTAATCAACCTGAGGATTGCCCGATGAGGCAAAAAAGGTTGTTGGTGTAGGGAAGATGCTCCTGACTTGTAAGAAAACAGGAAAGCAGGTCCCAGGAGCTCTGGCGAGAGTGGCACACCATCTACCGGGGTGCGCTACGAGGGATCCCGAAACCAGTCAATCATGTCGGAAAATGAGTGGGCAGACAGGAGATGCTATCAATAAGAGCTGTGTAATACTGATACACGTCCTCAGCAGCAACTCAAGCGGCACACTTACAGTATTCTGCTCTGCTCCGGCAGCACACGCTGGTCACCACGGGCACATGCAGGCGGTGCAAAACAGGGGCCAGCACCCCTCACTACCCCACATGGGCCACACTGCAGCCCTGCTGCCCAGGCACCGTGCCTTCTGGAGGGAATAGTGCTGTTTTTGGCTACAGAGCTGACGCTGAGCTCCATTACACAACCCCACAGCGAGTGGGGAAGGTTTTTGCTCCTGTTTCCTGCTGTATTGCTGACGAGGAGTTGAGAAAGCAAACAGTGCCAGCGCTGCAGGAGAAAGCGGGGAGATGGTAGATAGTGGTGTGTACTGGATGAGAAGTTTACATCCACATCTGTTTTGTTACACTTTGTACATTCCTTTTACTTCACATTGGACAAGCAGTTTTTAAGTTCTTAGCAGTACTGTCGTTTTAGCTTGGATAAATTTCTACTATAAATAGTTCCACGATTAAAAATAAAAACAGTAACAACAGACTTGTACTGAATCTAGATTTTACAAGATTTGCTTTTACAAAAAACCAAACAAAATCTGTATTTTTGTAACAACATCTGTAAATGTTTTCTTCTGTGCTTAATGAGAAGGGCACAAACAGCACAGCTCTTGCAGCGTTAGAAACTCATCAGTGCACAGTCTCCACAAAGACTGTGTGATAAGGGAGTTTGAATGGTCCCAGTTCGGGACAGGGATCTCTGAAAAGGACAATACCCATCAGGAGACCCAGAAGGAAGCAATTGTTCCCGCTTTCCAATTACTTCAGCAGGGCATGGCAACTGGCAGAGTTTGAATAATTAACTCAAAGAGGTAGTTGGAAGCTTTCCCTGTTAATTGAAAAGAATTTAAGTCATCAACTTCTGCATGCTTCCCATTACAACAAATTAAACCTCTTGCCCTCTAGGTTACAGAGCAGTCCTCCCAAGTCCTCAGGCAGGCAACACAGCATTAGCAGAATGAAATTAGAGACTGTTCATTACCTCTACTGCCCCTCAGAACTTTGTGAGCAGCCCTGACAGTATTTGAGGGCACTCCTCTGCTATATCGGGCAAAGACAGGAGCTGCCGTGTAAACAGAAGCCACTTGGGCTTTTTCCCACCAGGAGATTCAAAGCAGCCAGGACTACTACGGAGGGATATTAATAACAGGGCTCAATCACTTGACTATAGGTATAAAGCTCTGGTGGAAGACGAGAGGCACAGATGCTTCTTCCTTGCAGTGGGTGGGTGAGAAGCTTCATATCTGGGAGAGTGCAACCAGAGAGAGCCCAGCACTAAAGGTGGAACCGTCCTTACGGAAATCACAGCAGCTCAAAAGGAAACCTGAAGCCCCAAGCAGGCTACAGAGACCTGCCCCTGTACTTGGGAGCGGTGACCTTCTCTCCTATATCCCTCATCTCTGTTCTGAGCCTCCTGTGTTAGTTCTCTAACTACACAGAAACTACTGTTTTGCAGGTCTTGTTGAAGAAAAGCTCTGTCCTCCACATGTTTAAGATTAACTTCTGCCTCCTTCAGGTAAAAATAGTTCCGTGGAAATACAGTACAGAAAATGTTGACTACCAGAGAGAGCAGAGTGGGAGTTTATGAGCTCTATCTGCTTCAGGGGTAAACAGTTCAGCTTGTGTAAATATGTACTTTGGTACATGTCATTTGGTATATTAAGGCATATCATTTACTATAGGAAGTCTTTCAATGTATATTACTCATGAACCATACTACCCATTGCTCTTACGTGTTTGTGCCTTGATACCTGTCCCCTTCTGCTCATACCAGATTTCCAAGTGCCTCTATTTCAGACTCAAGATCTGTATTTCTTCTAAATTGGAAATTACACTTTACATAAAAGAACCCCACGGGCTAACAACTTTTTTTTGCTCTCAAGGACTGCGGTGTGCAAGACCAAAATACTGTTTAAATGAACCTTGAGCCTTCCCTACTATTTGTCTATACTTGCTAGAAATCTGGGTTGCTGCAGTCATTGCCAAAGAACATCAGCTCAGAGTTGCAGAGACCAAAAAAAGGTTTCTGTAACATTAATTTCACCATTAAAGAGCCATTCCATAGACTGGAGAGGTTAGAACAAGAGATTAGCTCACAAAATAAACCATTCTAACACAAAGTGGACAGGTATTACTGTGCCTCTCAACCCTCCCCCGCTTCCAAACTGCCATTGCCCTGAAAATCCTTCAGAGTTACCACAGATTTTGGACACAATTGATGAGTTGTGGGCTTTTTGTTTGTTTGTTTTTAAAATCACACAATCCTTTCCCATCTCAATACCTCTGGTTAAAGATGAGCAATAACACAAAATACATGCATCTCATAAACAAAGTAGTTCAGTCATCTCTGAGCCAGGAAGGCAATTTAGAAGAGTTTCCATCAAAACACAAGACCCAAAAAAGACAGCCAGGTCAAAGAGTTTTCCTCAGCTCTTTTGGTATATTGGCTTGAGAAAGGCTCACATTTTTAAAACACTTGATTTACCAGAAAAGTTAAAAACAAAGCCAGGAGAAAGACAATTTCTCATTTTTCCTACTCTCTTTATCACAAACCTCTAAAGCTGGCCTAGGATTCCCAGAACCACAAATTTTAACGTTGGCAGAAACTACAGCACTACACGCATATCTTACATCTTTGCATCTGCTTGCTGTACTCAGACATGTTATCCGGGCGAATAGATCTCAGAAATTTTATGTAGTCATCACTGTGGTACTTGGTCATTTCTTCTGCATTTGCCTTGTGAGGGCGCTGCAAGAACAGAAAAAGAGCAAGGCTTGTTTTGAAACACATCTCTCTCCCCAATTTCCATTTCCAAGCTCAGATTTACTCCCAGGAGCAGCAAAGAAAACTCAAATCAGTAGCATTAAACAAGAGAAACTTATTTTCAAAGGCAAGAATCCCACTACCGGAGACTGGAATGTATTACATATCTAGATAAAGGAAATATTTAAGTTATAGGGGAAAAAAGCAATTTTCCAATCTCCAAAGCTTATCTGAAGCAAAGAACATCTCACTACAAGCAATGAGAAGAAAGCAGAAACACACCAGCACAACTGGGTGTTTTGGGTTTTTTCCTCTCCCCTTTGGCTCATCAACAGAGAACTTACAAGTCTGAAGCATCAAAATTAAAACCTGACACATAAACTAAGATCTTTCATATATATTTCTCCTCATGACCAGCCCTACACTTACATATATCTCCATCTTCCTGTAGAGGCCATAGTTCAGCAGTAGGTTGTGGGTCATCCGGATCCTGTGGGGTTTCATCGGATGTCCTTGGCCATAATAGTAGTTTCCAACATCACCTGGGAGTAGAAAGGATTTTGTTACAGCAGGGAAAAGTAGGAATTCCTTCAAACAGCCAAGCCCCAAGACCCATCAGGTCATCTGTCATTTTATCTGTCCTTCGGCAGTGCATCTGTTCACAGGGGATAGGGTCTCCTATCTTGTTTGCACAGGTATCTCCACGGATTCAGAAAAGTTTATCCTAGACTCAAATCAGACAGACATTTAGAAATTAGGGTATGGCCAGACAAGGAATTTTTTAATGCCAGTTCTGGGGAAGGCAATCCAGGTAGAGTCTGAGCAACAAACATCACCCTGGACAAGTTAAGAGGAGGGAGCTCCAGCTTTCTTGAGCAGGAGGAGCTTTGGGCACCGCATTTGCCTCTCCTCACTCAGCAAATGACAGCTCTCCAACGTCCTCTCCAGGCAGTTCAGGTCCACTAGGATATCTCACATTTACAGAGCTTGCAGGTTTCGCTGAGAAATGCAACCACACGCCAAGAGGCATGCGAGTTTAATCCCGGCTCAGACAATGACTCATCAGATGGAGCACGTAGCCTCTTTGCCTCAGTTTCTTACTACTTACCTAACAGAAATGAGATACAAAGCGGCTAATTCTGTCAATGAGCAAACGCCAGCACAGCTGCAGTTTTACAGCTTCTCATTTTCACCCTTTATTATTGCTTGGAATCCTTCAGAAGAATCCCAGTCCCTACCAACCGCACACCCGTGCAGATGGGCCTGACGAGCTATCCTATAGGCACCAGCTTCATTGAACTTAGCTTCCTGCAAATATATCCTACAGGTCATCTCCCCACGCAGATTTTTCTCCTACCTAGCAAAAGCTGAGCTCATGCTGCACTCTCCCACAGCAGGCCCCACTAACTGATTTTTTTTCCCCTCTCTTCTCCCAGGGTACTTATTTTCATGAACCTTACAGAAATTTAACTTTCAGATTTCTGCCTCCTGCCTGGTTTGGCTGTGACAGGCACAGACTCAAAAGTTGCCAAGAGCAGGTAACGCACAGACAGAGCCACACGCAGCAGCAGTATCACGCAAGCCTCGTTTTCTTGGGAAACCAGACTAAGTTGTTCACGTAGTTGTACAACACCCGATCAGTTTAGGAGGCAGAAGACCCAATCCGGTCTGGCTGGTGACTCAGTTGGGAGTATTAATATTTCATCACCAATCTTAACATTCAGGAGAAACTGCTACTTCCTCACAGCACACAGTTCTAGTTCTTCCTCCTGTGGACATGGCCCTGTTTTCAGTCAAAGTAGATGCAAACGGTGCAAATCCCACACCCAAACAACTCCGCTGCTGGAGTCTACCTGTCCGTGGCATGATGGTGAAATGGGGTATTCTTTGCACAAAGGTATTTTACCGGGGCAACTACAGTAAAATCAGGTTAAATCAACCTTTGGGGAACTCAATAAGAGATGCTTAAGACCCTATCTAGAAAATACAAGCACAAAACTACATGAAGCTTTGAAAAATCACCATCTTCTTCAACTCTGGCTGTCAGCAAAACACCCTGGGCAAACCCTGACTTCCAGAGCCTGTTCATGTTCACTCTGCTAAACACATCCGACCACGAGTCCTACCGAGCAGCAGACGAGCTTGTCTGCTCCTCGACGTCAGTGCAGATTAAGAGAGTGTGAACTTTACCAGACACCTCTTCCTGTCTGCTAGGGTTAGGCAAGTCCCTACACAGGGAGCTAATAAAGAAAAAGTTACTGTTCGAGTTCAAACCCTTGCACACACCCTCAGCACCCCTCAGGATTCCCATAAAGGACCCCTATGATACTCGACTGCCTTTTCCCCCAACCTCTGCATCCCACTTAGACCCTTCCCTGCAGCTCAGGTCCCTTCTCCAGCACAGGATGCCCTCCTGCCATCTGAAACGTGTGGCTCAAGGAAGAGACCCGCACACCATCCAAAACAGCGTCCAGGGACCTCCCTTCAGGGAATTACTGCACTAGATTGCACTGCTCTAACCTCCCTGCATGGAAAATTAAAGATCCTAACAAACTGGCCTCCCACAACTGCAGATTATGCCTTCCCCGACAATAAAAGCACACTTTCACCCTAGGACACGCTGTGGATGTTTGCCAGCCGCTCATAAAATAGCAGTGGAAAGAAGGCACTGAAACCTCACCACAGAGTAAATTAGTGAGGGTAGCTATAGACAAGAGTGTATAATGCTAACTTCATGTCGTTACCGTGCAATAAAGACTACAAGGATGGCATCTCCGCTTAGCATTTTCAAACAAAATGGCTGGTTATTTCATATTTAAGACACCATTGCATGACTTTAAAGACCACAGCTTGTTCACAAACTGACAAGCTTCTTTGTGAACATCTTACATTGCAAGGACAGGGATACGTTTGGACACAGAGACCATTTTCTTCCAACGTCCAGGTCACGTGCACATGTATGGCATTCTGGCACTCCCTGCAAGCACTCTTTAAGTTTAAACGAGGCATTTTAGGGCCTAGGGCTTCATCATCCCCTTGCATATTTTGATACGGCGGGTGTTGCATAGAGATCAGTTGTGTGGTAAAACTGGGCTCAGTTTTGCTGCAGCACCCAGAGCTCTAATCCAGACTCTTCCTCGCCCTGCCCTCCCAAAGGCACCGGCTGAGTCAGAGACCTCACAGGACTGTCATTACAGGTTGCAAAGATTTACTTTTCTAGACAAATAAAAGCCCTCGCTATATATCTGTCATATACTGCAATTTAAAAGAGCCCGCTTTACTGCTTGAGCACTGAACACATCCACTTACCAGCAAAAAGCAGTGAGAAAAAGTTTTTATTTGATTTCACAGACTAAAAGCCACAATGGAATAGAAAACCGCACAACACCGTTCACAGACAGTGGTCACAGACCCTGTTCAAAATGAGCTCGCCCATCACCGAGGCACCATGTCACCCCTCCAAAGGGGAGGCGGTCGTGAACACACAGAGGTGACGCAATTGTGATTTCTCCCACAGAGGACGGGGTAGAAGCAAGGAAGCCGCACGAGACACCCAACTTGGGATTTGGCCAGCTCTTAACACCCTGTTACTTCCCTACCCCAATGGGATGATTATACAGCCCCAAAGCAGTGCTTCCCCAGTCTCATAACAGAAAAGAAAAAAAAAAAAAAAGAGCCAGTCTACAATCCAGCCAAGTTCAGAGCCAGAACTAAACAATGCTCCTAGACACAGGAACTCCCTACAAACAACCACACGCAGTCGGTCTGGCTCCTAACGCCTTCGGGTTTGTCCCTTGCTTGACAGCACCATCGCTAACCCAAACTGGAACTTCAAGAATGCCTTTTCCTCTTAACATGGCTCAAGGAAGCTTCATCTTCCCTCAACCCATCCTGTCCCCCAGCACCTCCCCAAGTGCTCCCCATCCTCCCAGAAACCTTCTTCAGCATCTCTGCACAGCTCCCAAAGCCTCTATCGGCCTCATGTCCCCCTCCCCACCCTGGACCCTTCACAGCCCTTCCCCACCTCCAAAGCCTCT